TTCATTTCATCAGATAATTTATGTTGATCAGTCACCCTAAAAATAGAAATAATAAATGTTCATGCTTTTTTATTGTTAAATATAATACGTTTGTTGCTGTCCACTTATCTGTGTTTCGTCCTTTTCAGCTGAAAATATAAGAACATAATTAATTAAATAATAATCTAAAAAAATAATTGTTACTCCATGCTACATAAAAGTGCACTGCAATCGATACCAAAATCTGAAATAGAAAATATCTACGCACCTTAAAATGCAAAATTAAATAGATATATAAAAATAACATTTAATCCCATAAAACAGGGATTCCCAACCTTTTAAGCCTCCCCTTATTATAAAATTAATGCATCCCCACTTTTTTTAATTAAAAAAAAACTACCAAATAAAATGATTTTTCATTAGATTGTTTGAACACATTGGTTGGGAAGTCCTGCCATAAAACATCAACATAAGCCCAAAAAAGGATGTATTTACAAGATAAGTTACCTTAATATTAAGGTGACCTAGCCACCCCATAATTTTGTTACTTTTAATATTCAAAAATTCAGGATTTAATGGCGGTGCATGAGCTGTTTTTTATGGATATACATTTTCTTCATTACAGTCACAATATTCGCATTGATGCGAAAATTACTAGGTACATGAGTTATAAATATTGTGATCAATGTTATTGTTGATAAAAAATGAGCAGGTCCAAGCAAATAGCTTAATTTTTCTAGGTTTATCAAATATTTTGGTCAACTTTGGTATAGAGTAAAAAGAGATCATTTAAAATTAGACTACTCCTAGGCTCGCTAAGCCCATTACCTCTGCAAAAAGCTGGCTAAATCTTGAAATGGAAAGGCAATTATACAGTAGAAGAAGAAGAAAATTAGACCAGACAGAATTTGCTTTTGAGACAGATTAAATTTTAAAAACTAAAAAAATACTGATCATAATATTGATGATTCTGATTGGTTCTGATAAGTTGTTGAAATGTGTTTGACTAATATAATACTAATAAAAAATATCATGGTAACATTTCATAGGAAAATTCGCAAACCCTTGACTTAAGCCTAAGTAAAAAATTATGAATTATAGATATTTTATAACTATTTTTTACATTAAAATTGTATATTTTAAAAGTAAATACAATTTAATAGTGGAAATTTGTAACAAAATAAGGGGGTGGCGTGAACTTAAGGCCCTTAAGTTAAGGGAATATTTTGTCTGTATAAACGTAGACCACTATTGTGTATACATTATAATATTAATAATTATTAATAATTTAATTTACCCAATAATACTTAAAATACTAGGGTGTCCCCACAATCCACACAACAAGGTCTGTTCGATCTCGTAGTAAAAATACTAAAAATCACTGCAACACTGCACATCATACGATGGCGGCCATTTTTGTTGTTTACAATTCTTGTGCTTTGGGTTTGTACAGATTATTAATCGTTTTAAACGTTGTGTTTCTTACAGAGAGACTTAAAAGAGACCTCAAAGTGGTAAGAACAATCATTTTACTCCTCTTTTGTAAAAAATAAACCTTATTCAGTCAAATGTCAATTTGAAGGTTAATTTGTGGGTTATAAAATAACCTTAAATTAACCTTTAAATTGACATTTGACAGCCCTGGTAGAATAAGGTTTATTTTTTACAAAAGAGGAGTAAGAATGATTGTTCTTACCACTTGAGGTCTCTTAAAAGGCTTGCAAGTCTATCTGTAAGAAACACAACGTTTAAAACGATTATTAATCTGTACCCAAAGCACAAGAATTGTAAACAACAAAAATGGCCGCCATCATATGTTTTGCAGTGTTGCAGTGATTTTTAGTATTTTTACTACGAGATCGAACAGACCTTGTTGTGTGGATTGTGGGTGTCCCTTAATTTTGTCATTTTTTTTGTTCATACATTAGAAAAAAATTCTGCCAAGTTTAAGTTTTTTCCGATAACATTAACACGTGCCACCGAGCGATCAAAAATTTAAATGAAAATTACATTGGTGTTTTTTATGATTTTCTATTTTTTTTTAAACTTAAAATGAGTTAAAAAATATTCAAATGCATAAGTTTGACGTCCATACCGTCGTTTATCTGACAAAGAGGCGTATCTCATTTTTAAACAAAACGGTGTGAATTGAATTACGCCAGTTTGTACGGCACACAAAATGCAAAAATATTAGTTACGCCGAAACTGATTTATGCTAAAACTTTATTTGTACCTATTTATTATAGAGCTACGCCAGTTTGTGAGATTATAAAGTCGATTTTGGTGATCATTCTGGTATAACTCAAAAACGATTTTTTTTGAGTTACGCCTCTTTGTCAGATAAACGACGATACTTTCTATAAAATTCAAAAATATATATAATTTTTTTTTAATGTGAAGGATTTCGTTTTTTTGTATATGCATATTTGACATTTTTTAAATTTATTGTATTCAATTGTATATACTATTTATACAATATACAGCCCGTTCAGAGTAAAACCGAATATAGGGAAATGTTTTGGGCGTGGCCTCGCCTCCCTCCAACGCTCGTCATAGTAGCTTGTTTGATAAACGACATGACAAAAGGTTGTGCAGGTACATATGCAGTAACATTGTCGAACAGTTGCATTTTATTAAAAGTATAAATATCAAACTTTTGCATTTGAATTGTTTTTTTAACTAATTTTAACTTAAAAAACTACAATATAATCATAATGTTACTTATGGATGAGATGGAACTAATTTAAAAATGTCAAATTTAAGGGACACCCTAAAGTATATACCTATATAAAAAGGTTATTAAATTAAAATAATAAAACTCATGTCCACAATTGTGTTATTTTTTAAACATCTATGAACATTTTAAAATAATGATCTATTTATATAATATATATATATATATATATATATATATATATAATATTAAGTATATATACAGGGTATTCTACAAGTCGCGCACCACCTAAAGGTGGATGATCTACAGTGCGTTCGAAAAGATATGGATATGGAGTATGAGGATAGGTATATAATCACGTGACTTTACATTATACCTGACCTCCTTGATATTTTCGAACGCCGCGGGGCATATACCTATATATGTTGTAGTGTTCATAAATTAATTGGTTTTGCTTGTTATTTGACTGAATACATATAAATATTAAATTATTGAATTTCAACCCTTTTATATAAATTCTTTTATTTTAATGTTTTTCGTTTTTGTTTCATTGAATTTTAAACAGATTTAAATAAATTATATGAAGGTAAATAAAAATTATTGTTTGATGTACCCTAATGCTTATTGAGGAAGAAGAACATGTTTAATTAGTTGTCGTCGTCAAAATAAAAGTAAAGACCAAAACTATTACTTTTAACAGTGTACAATGGGGGATTTTCTTGTACGAGATCAATCAATTTCTCGTCTTCCTCTGATGAAAACTTGGTTGTCATTTTAAAATTCGTTAAAATAACGGCTTCTTTAAATACTGTCACTGTGAGCTCAACTGAACGACTGCGTTAAAATCAAATGGAGTTTGATTCCGGAAACATAAACGCACATAATTTTCTGCCTACCGTGAGTCCACCTAAGCAGATTCTAACAAACCGGCTACGCGTCTTCTTGTCTTCAAGATTTCAGCGCAAGTCCGAGGCGCACAACTGACTGTCTGCTTTGGGTCACCTACAGTTCTAACAAACCATAGCTTTACGCAACGCTCTTTCAAAATGCAACAATTTGTTAAAGAAAATTCAACCATTTTAGTACCAGAAACAATAATTTATTCGATATTTAACATATGTAAGGGTCCCCACCCACGATCCAACGCCACCGTACAATTTTGTCAAATACGACAAAATTGAAAGAAATTTGATCGTGTATGTCGCGTCGTCCGACCAAGTCGGTCCAATTTATTTGGTGTAGTACGACCAAGTCGGTCCAATTTATTTGGTGTAGTACGACCAAGTAGGTTCGATTTAGTTGGATCGTGATGGGGGGTCCCCGTACTGCTAAATCGTTACGTGTTTGTTTCTTTCCAAATTTCAATCAAATCGTTATATTTAATTGAACTGCGGCGTCTATATTATTTGTAATAAAGAATGACATTAGCCAATAAAGTATTGTATTAAAATATATGGTAATCAGGGGCGTGCTGGCTGAATCAATGCAGGCCTGGACTTGATGGTAGAGCAGTCCAGGCCCAAGCCAATTTTATATAAATTGTAAAAATACATCACAATTAAATACCTCGACTGATAAAACGTCCCGTGATAACTCTCTTCGCAACAAAGAACTGTTTTCAGCTAGTTCAATTATTAAGTCACAATCTAGTTAAGTATAATAAATAATAATAATTTTATGAAAAATACCCAGTTTTCGGTAGGTAAATAAAATTTGGATAACAACCCCCTATCTACACCACTAGGGGTAGAGCATTTAAAAATTATAAACGGGTGTTTTATTTTATAAAATTACAAAATTTAAATTTAATTGTTTTAATCAAGAACTGACAAGAAAAACGTAACGTTGATTTAATGTAGAATTGATCAGGCTTACCAGAAAAAATGTCAGTGGGGTACCACTTTTTTGTAAACAATATTAGAGAACAGTGCTTGGACGCTTTTAAAGATATTAAAAATAACACTAAAAATTCCATTAAAAAAATATATCCTTATTAAAAATCGGACAAGTACCTGAGGCTCCCTCGGGCTTGGGGGCGCTGAAATTTTGCTAGTCTAGCCATCCGCTAGTTACGCCATTTAGTGTTAGTGTTTTTAAACTCATAATTTTTTTACGTTGTTTTTACATTATTTTTATTTAAGCCCATTATCGTAAAATGTTCTACATTACGTTGAATATTTAAAGTTAATATATTTTAAATTAAAATAACAATTTTGAGGTTATATTACATTTTTAACTTTTTTTTAATACCTATAGGTTTCATTTAATATAAATACTAATACAATATATTAATGTTATAACATAATAGGTTATATTATAGAGAATAGGGATTTTCAAAAACCAAATATTTTATTGAAAGCTTTATTTGTATTTAGATACACAGGATATATGTTTTATACATATATAACCTATATACATACATTCATATAGAATATTTTTATATTGATTTAATAAATAATATTGAACAGCAATAAGTATTTTTTTAAATTTCATTGGCAAAATGGGATTAACCACAAACCCGTTGTTTAAAGGCCAAAATATGAAATTTAAAGATATACTGTTTAACAATAAGCTACAATACACTAATTATAAGATATATTCAATCATAACCTGCTTTCTTAATTTTATACAAATATTTCGTAACATTAACTCACAATAAAGCATTATATAAAAATAACGGGCTTTAACAGAAACAAACAATTACATTTAGCATAAAAATTATTGTAAGTTACTGTTACTTACGATTCATTATTCAACCTTCTTACACCTAATAAGTACAATACTATACTATAAAGAAAGTTTAATTTTTATCTAAAAGGTAAAAACTAAAGCGTCTTAAAAAAATACTTGATATAGCAGTATTTGTATAAATACAACGAAAAATTGCGTATTTAAAATAACATTTATTTCCTACATATACATGGTGTATAATTTAGTGAGTCAAAAACATGTTTAAATGGCAAACACTTCAGGCAGGAAGAATTTTGCTTGCTGTGGACATTTATTGTTTTTAGTTATATCGGGTCAAGACATTGCCGAACAAATAATATGTTTGAGCCATATTAGAACATTTACAATAGAGCAAGCACAGGAATATATTTAATAGATAGTAGCAATAGGCTATTTTAAATTTGAACTTTGTCTTGATCGGAAGTCTTGATTGGTTCTTCAGTTTTCATGGTTGGAAATTGTCATTATTACTATAATACAAAATTATTTATCTTTTGGTACTTTATTGCTTGCTTTCCTTTTCAAGTTCTTGTAGTAAAGCCTTCATTTCATCAGATAATTTATGTTGATCAGTCACCCTAAAAATAGAAATAATAAATGTTCATGCTTTTTTATTGTTAAATATAATACGTTTGTTGCTGTCCACTTATCTGTGTTTCGTCCTTTTCAGCTGAAAATATAAGAACATAATTAATTAAATAATAATCTAAAAAAATAATTGTTACTACATGCTACATAAAAGTGCACTGCAATCGATACCAAAATCTGAAATAGAAAATATCTACGCACCTTAAAATGCAAAATTAAATAGATATATAAAAATAACATTTAATCCCATAAAACAGGGATTCCCAACCTTTTAAGCCTTCCCTTATTATAAAATTAATGCATCCCCACTTTTTTTAATTAAAAAAAAACTACCAAATAAAATGATTTTTCATTAGATTGTTTGAACACATTGGTTGGGAAGTCCTGCCATAAAACATCAACATAAGCCCAAAAAAGGATGTATTTACAAGATAAGTTACCTTAATATTAAGGTGACCTAGCCACCCCATAATTTTGTTACTTTTAATATTCAAAAATTCAGGATTTAATGGCGGTGCATGAGCTGTTTTTTATGGATATACATTTTCTTCATTACAGTCACAATATTCGCATTGATGCGAAAATTACTAGGTACATGAGTTATAAATATTGTGATCAATGTTATTGTTGATAAAAAATGAGCAGGTCCAAGCAAATAGCTTAATTTTTCTAGGTTTATCAAATATTTTGGTCAACTTTGGTATAGAGTAAAAAGATTTCATTTAAAATTAGACTACTCCTAGGCTCGCTAAGCCCATTACCTCTGCAAAAAGCTGGCTAAATCTTGAAATGGAAAGGCAATTATACAGTAGAAGAAGAAGAAAATTAGACCAGACAGAATTTGCTTTTGAGACAGATTAAATTTTAAAAACTAAAAAAATACTGATCATAATGTTGATGATTCTGATTGGTTCTGATAAGTTGTTGAAATGTGTTTGACTAATATAATACTAATAAAAAATATCATGGTAACATTTCATAGGAAAATTCGCAAACCCTTGACTTAAGCCTAAGTAAAAAATTATGAATTATAGATATTTTATAACTATTTTTTACATTAAAATTGTATATTTTAAAAGTAAATACAATTTAATAGTGGAAATTTGTAACAAAATAAGGGGGTGGCGTGAACTTAAGGCCCTTAAGTTAAGGGAATATTTTGTCTGTATAAACGTAGACCACTATTGTGTATACATTATAATATTAATAATTATTAATAATTTAATTTACCCAATAATACTTAAAATACTAGGGTGTCCCCACAATCCACACAACAAGGTCTGTTCGATCTCGTAGTAAAAATACTAAAAATCACTGCAACACTGCACATCATACGATGGCGGCCATTTTTGTTGTTTACAATTCTTGTGCTTTGGGTTTGTACAGATTATTAATCGTTTTAAACGTTGTGTTTCTTACAGAGAGACTTAAAAGAGACCTCAAAGTGGTAAGAACAATCATTTTACTCCTCTTTTGTAAAAAATAAACCTTATTCAGTCAAATGTCAATTTGAAGGTTAATTTGTGGGTTATAAAATAACCTTAAATTAACCTTTAAATTGACATTTGACAGCCCTGGTAGAATAAGGTTTATTTTTTACAAAAGAGGAGTAAGAATGATTGTTCTTACCACTTGAGGTCTCTTAAAAGGCTTGCAAGTCTATCTGTAAGAAACACAACGTTTAAAACGATTATTAATCTGTACCCAAAGCACAAGAATTGTAAACAACAAAAATGGCCGCCATCATATGTTTTGCAGTGTTGCAGTGATTTTTAGTATTTTTACTACGAGATCGAACAGACCTTGTTGTGTGGATTGTGGGTGTCCCTTAATTTTGTCATTTTTTTTGTTCATACATTAGAAAAAAATTCTGCCAAGTTTAAGTTTTTTCCGATAACATTAACACGTGCCACCGAGCGATCAAAAATTTAAATGAAAATTACATTGGTGTTTTTTATGATTTTCTATTTTTTTTTAAACTTAAAATGAGTTAAAAAATATTCAAATGCATAAGTTTGACGTCCATACCGTCGTTTATCTGACAAAGAGGCGTATCTCATTTTTAAACAAAACGGTGTGAATTGAATTACGCCAGTTTGTACGGCACACAAAATGCAAAAATATTAGTTACGCCGAAACTGATTTATGCTAAAACTTTATTTGTACCTATTTATTATAGAGCTACGCCAGTTTGTGAGATTATAAAGTCGATTTTGGTGATCATTCTGGTATAACTCAAAAACGATTTTTTTTGAGTTACGCCTCTTTGTCAGATAAACGACGATACTTTCTATAAAATTCAAAAATATATATAATTTTTTTTTAATGTGAAGGATTTCGTTTTTTTGTATATGCATATTTGACATTTTTTAAATTTATTGTATTCAATTGTATATACTATTTATACAATATACAGCCCGTTCAGAGTAAAACCGAATATAGGGAAATGTTTTGGGCGTGGCCTCGCCTCCCTCCAACGCTCGTCATAGTAGCTTGTTTGATAAACGACATGACAAAAGGTTGTGCAGGTACATATGCAGTAACATTGTCGAACAGTTGCATTTTATTAAAAGTATAAATATCAAACTTTTGCATTTGAATTGTTTTTTTAACTAATTTTAACTTAAAAAACTACAATATAATCATAATGTTACTTATGGATGAGATGGAACTAATTTAAAAATGTCAAATTTAAGGGACACCCTAAAGTATATACCTATATAAAAAGGTTATTAAATTAAAATAATAAAACTCATGTCCACAATTGTGTTATTTTTTAAACATCTATGAACATTTTAAAATAATGATCTATTTATATAATATATATATATATATATATATATATATATATATATAATATTAAGTATATATACAGGGTATTCTACAAGTCGCGCACCACCTAAAGGTGGATGATCTACAGTGCGTTCGAAAAGATATGGATATGGAGTATGAGGATAGGTATATAATCACGTGACTTTACATTATACCTGACCTCCTTGATATTTTCGAACGCCGCGGGGCATATACCTATATATGTTGTAGTGTTCATAAATTAATTGGTTTTGCTTGTTATTTGACTGAATACATATAAATATTAAATTATTGAATTTCAACCCTTTTATATAAATTCTTTTATTTTAATGTTTTTCGTTTTTGTTTCATTGAATTTTAAACAGATTTAAATAAATTATATGAAGGTAAATAAAAATTATTGTTTGATGTACCCTAATGCTTATTGAGGAAGAAGAACATGTTTAATTAGTTGTCGTCGTCAAAATAAAAGTAAAGACCAAAACTATTACTTTTAACAGTGTACAATGGGGGATTTTCTTGTACGAGATCAATCAATTTCTCGTCTTCCTCTGATGAAAACTTGGTTGTCATTTTAAAATTCGTTAAAATAACGGCTTCTTTAAATACTGTCACTGTGAGCTCAACTGAACGACTGCGTTAAAATCAAATGGAGTTTGATTCCGGAAACATAAACGCACATAATTTTCTGCCTACCGTGAGTCCACCTAAGCAGATTCTAACAAACCGGCTACGCGTCTTCTTGTCTTCAAGATTTCAGCGCAAGTCCGAGGCGCACAACTGACTGTCTGCTTTGGGTCACCTACAGTTCTAACAAACCATAGCTTTACGCAACGCTCTTTCAAAATGCAACAATTTGTTAAAGAAAATTCAACCATTTTAGTACCAGAAACAATAATTTATTCGATATTTAACATATGTAAGGGTCCCCACCCACGATCCAACGCCACCGTACAATTTTGTCAAATACGACAAAATTGAAAGAAATTTGATCGTGTATGTCGCGTCGTCCGACCAAGTCGGTCCGATTTATTTGGTGTAGTACGACCAAGTCGGTCCAATTTATTTGGTGTAGTACGACCAAGTAGGTTCGATTTAGTTGGATCGTGATGGGGGGTCCCCGTACTGCTAAATCGTTACGTGTTTGTTTCTTTCCAAATTTCAATCAAATCGTTATATTTAATTGAACTGCGGCGTCTATATTATTTGTAATAAAGAATGACATTAGCCAATAAAGTATTGTATTAAAATATATGGTAATCAGGGGCGTGCTGGCTGAATCAATGCAGGCCTGGACTTGATGGTAGAGCAGTCCAGGCCCAAGCCAATTTTATATAAATTGTAAAAATACATCACAATTAAATACCTCGACTGATAAAACGTCCCGTGATAACTCTCTTCGCAACAAAGAACTGTTTTCAGCTAGTTCAATTATTAAGTCACAATCTAAACCATTTTGCACCTTTCTCTCCACAGCAATCAGCATAAAAGCTTCCAAATTTACGTCACTTTACACTAATATTAAAGGAAAGTATTATCACAAATAAATCAAGACAAAAACTGCGAGAGGGGGCTTTTTTGGATGCTTTTGTAATTATGTTTCTGTTCCTCTATAAATCCGAGCTGATCTCCCCTTCCGATAATTTTTAAATTGACTAAAATTGCATTTTATCGAAGTGTCTCCGGATCAGTTTGGATTTTCAAAGAAATGGAAAAATAATTACGAAAGCATCCAAAATATCCCCACGGTTTAGGGTTTCCACCTGCGACTTCTTGGTTAAGGGTTAGCGTAAAAAATACGTGTTTTAGATTTTTTTACGGGAGTCAATTAAAACTTTCTTTTTTTTAATTTATTTTAGTGTTTAGTGATATAACTTAAAAAAACTTTTTGTTTGGTATAAAAATCTTTTTTCTATTTGCATACCATAACAAGTCCAGCAGACCACCATGGTAGCGCAGGCCACCGGGCATTCGCCCGGTGTCCCGGCGGCCCAGCACGCCCCTGATGGTAATTTACCATATATTTTAATACAATAATTTATTGGCTAATGTCATTCTTTATTACAAATAATATAGATTTGCCGTACTCCAAAATTGTATAAATTAAATAAATTATACATTGTTTTAATCTCTTTAAGTTATAATTAATTTCAAAACAATTGTTTGAATAATTGAACAAGTTTTTTACAACATGGTATATTTAATTTAATATTTTTCTTAAAGTTCTAAATAAAAAATCATTACAACTCAAGATTCTTAGAACTGAATCCC